TAAAGGCATGTAGTGGAGTGGTATGCCCTTTGAGCATTTACTGGCATCCTTAAAAGAGATTTTGTAACATTGCTTGAGCAGGACAGAGGCCAGGCCAAGAGGCCTGCCTGCGGACTCGGAAAAGAAGAAAGTGTCCTGACTTAACAACTGTGTCCTGAGCATTTCTCACAAGAATTGTAACCTGTTATCTGCACGATAAATCCCCTAATTGTGAGCATCATCTGTGAATTCTGTGTGGTCAGTGCAATGAATCATCAAACCCAGTGACATAAGTAGACTGCCATGGGAGGAGTGGTTGGTGTCAGACTAAGGTACAAAGGGATGGGCAGTGGAGGCATATCTTCCCTTTGCCTTATGGCAATCTGCCTTGGGGGCTGGAAGAGGTCAGATGTGGCCCCCCATTGCTGTTTTCTCACCAACTGACAGGAAATACCAGCTAACAGTGGGACACAAAAACAAAAGCTCACAGGAGATACAAAGTAGTATAATTTGTAAAGCCCTAAAGACAAATTCCAAAAGTAACTTCCTTTTTAAAATGTATTAAATTCATTGAATGACGCAGTTTAATGGGTTAAAATTATTATAATATTACTACCAGTGCTAATTACTAGCAGCAATACAAATATAACAGAATTTGTTCCAAATTCTGCATTCATTCCTTGCTATAGTAAAACTTAAAAAATCAATAATGTTACAGAAAGTGAAATGATTTTAGGATCCGAAATTGTCATATCTCAAACCCTATAAATGACACAAATCCTGTTCATGGAATAATTTTTCTGCTAATAATGTGTGTGATTGTCTCAAAAGGGGGCCTAGTAAGCATGAACACCACAGTGGACCATTTGAAAATTTGTGTTAAAAATTTCTGAATGGTAAACAAAAACAGTTCTATAGCCAGACTATATTTGTAGAGTGCAGAGCTAGTGATGACAATTGTAAGAGGGACTGGCTACTGGATTGCTCATCAGTAGCTCTCTATATTATTTTGTTTGCAAACTATCCAGGATTAAGTCATTTAATTTTCAATCTACTTCAGATTTACTTAGCAATTAGTGCAACAGGATTATGATTGAAAATATTAAAACAGTTTAGTTCATAGAGATTATATGCTGTCAGATTTAAGCTGAAGACAATTTTGGCTTAGCTCATGAACTGAAAACACAAATTAATAAATTATGTCAGTATTGGAAAACAGCTTGCAGCATGTTATGCTGTTGCTGTCCTTATAACAATCACTATACATGTGCTACTTTTCAAGAAAGAAAGAGTGTTTGGGTTCCCGTAAAATGCAAATTTGGGGGGTGTCTTGAACTTGTTACTTAACTTCATCCATTTTTATCAGGCCAGATCTCAAAACATGATAACACAGGAACGATGCGCTCACTGGAACTATCTAAAATAATTTACTCAGAAATTTAAATGATAAATTTAAGTAATAAAGTACCGACAACTAGTTTCAGAATAATAAGTAGAGCTCAATATTAGTTTATGTAATCTTGGTCTTTCTCATGCAAATCGGCTAAGTATTAAAGATATGGATCTCCAACAGATGGAAAACCTGTTAAGTACTTTATCACATTTACTAGCTTAAAATACTATATTTGTGAAGAACTTGCAGATTAAGTACCTCACCATTTATGTGATATGCGTAAAACTGATTTTTCTAACTACAGGGACCAATACTATGATAATGTTGCAAATATCTCAAGGCTTTACAAAGGCATGCAATAGAAAATTTTAAATGTAAGGAATGTGCCATTTCCATACACATGGCATGCATTCACTTAATCCAGGGCATGTAGCACAGTATATTGTTATCAAGTGGCAATTGATTTTTCCCCTATTGTTCAGTTACTCTATGCATTTTTTCACCTCTTCTCACAGATGGGCAGTTCTTAAAACATATTTAGGCAATGATGGAGCACTGAAATACCTTTCTGATACACATTAAGAAGTACATGTTACAGTGACACATGCAATCTTATAATTATACACTTGGGTTCCAGAAAATAAGGCTGAGATCAGACACCAAAGAGACAAAGAGAGAAGCTGCAAACATTGCCAACAAAATGCAAACACTAGAATGTATACTGATGTTGGTTATGTGGAATATTGCAGAATTTACACCGGATGAGTAAAATTCTCTATGAGTCAATCGTAAATTTAAAGACATGAACAAATGCCTCCCAGTCATGAACAAGTTATTTATATGACTTCAAAGAAAAGTTTGAAAACCCAGAACAAATACTGCCATATACTAATTATCAAGCAGTTCACCATCACAAAAGCACCAGAAAGAAATAAGTCAATGACAAAAGTGTTCAGGAAGTATGGTAATCTATCCTTAACACAACTGCAGGAAAAGGCCAAAAGCATATAAAGTTTTCAAATAGATTCTCCTCTTGAATGTGGATCTATCTGACGAAGACTGTATGAAGACATCTGAAGAGTCTTCTAACTTCAATGCAAGCGTTTACAGAGCAGTGCAGTCATATTCTTACATGAGAACTGAGTTTGCAGAAAAACACACTTGACTCAAGTAGGAATGCGTGATTCCATGATAGAAGATAAAATACAAGGCTAAATAAAACCCCATTGTACAAAATAATCAGCGTTATATAAAAATGTCAAAATGTGAACCTCCTGTTTCATCTAATCTACCTAATTCTGAAGGCAGTATTTCCCCCTAACTCTCTAACCTCCAAAAATTTTGTGCTCTTCCATTGACACGATGTCAAAACAGCAGTTCTGGCATCTGCAAGGGACACAAATCAGGTTCCTTTGCAATGTTCTTTGGTCTGGGAAACAAACAGAAGTCGGGAGGGGTGCGACCCGCCTGTGGGGTGGATGGGGCGAGGTTTCTTACAAACATTCTCGTAGGCAGCTCTCGGGCTCTAGAAAATTAGCAGATGCATTGTGATGGGGACATTTCTCAGTTCAATTGTCCTGGGCTTTTTGTCACCAGTGAAAGTTTCCATATTTTTTGAGAACTTCTTCCTAATAAGCCCTAGTGATGGTCCTGTATCCTTTGAGAAAATCTACTAAGACTGCCCCTTTGGAATACCACCATGAGAGTTGATCCAGATAACCTTTAGAGCTGTCCCTTCTAGCTTTACCTGGTGCGGCAGATCACTTCAGAAGCCACGGTTTTGATTCGACCTTGCTTCCTGGATCGTATTAGTAGATCCAAGGCTGGCCCCCAGTTCGTCCCATAAAATGATCTCATTAGCTTCGGCCTCGCATAAGACTCTGAGTTCTCTGATCTTTACTCAATGCTTTGGGCACCACTGAGCCCCAAGCTGGCTGCGGCCAAGAAAGAAGTCTTCGTAAACCTGAAAGTGCTGAGCCTGTGGCTCCCTGCCGTCAGTGGCTACCACAGCCATGCTAATTCTGTAGTCGCCTCCCACTTGTTCCTGCTTTCTGCCAGTGTCCTTACTCGGCCACTGGATCTTCCTGCCTTGGCGCGTCTTTGACATCTTCCTAGCCTTCCTCAGAGCACTTGATCCATCTAAAAACTAGTATTTGGTGTGGGGCAGCATTCCTTGGTACAAACTTGCATTGATTTGCGAAGATTCCATTTGAGGTTTTTAAAAAACTTTATATTAGCCCTGACTTGGAAATAATTCTTTCCATGGGACAAAAAGTATTCTTTTTCTTGTTTTTTTTAAGATGCCCTAGTAAGACTAAGACAAGTTTATGATTGGTAGGATTTTTCTGCAGTGTTCACTGGAAGCAGAGGCACGTTAAAACAAGTTTTGTTTGCAATACACCCTCCACGTGTGAACTAACAGTTCTACTTTACTTACCCTCCTACGATCCACATCTCCCCGTGCTGAAATTACTCTATGCACATCCCAACATGAGTGAGGACAAATTACACACAAGGACACTCACGTCATCCCTAAAGAGACTCATACAACAGTGATTTTTAAAGTCTCAATTCATTATCTTTAGGTATGGAAATTGCTGTTCAACAGCTTGTGACACAAATCATTTAAAGTTTAATAGAGAACTGTTTTCAACGATACCATGCTAAAGATGAAAACTTCATCTAAGAGTAAAATACCGTAATTTGTTTAATATTTGTTTCCTGATCATTAAGGATTTTTGTTTTTTTAAATCAAGTTTTTATATTTTTTCATTTAGTCATTTATAAGTATCATTTATCATGAAACAAGATCAAAACAAAGTATAAGACAATGAAAGCAAAATTGATGAAAGTCATTTTTTGTGGTGGGAGAGCAACAAACTTTACATTAATGTTGAAACAACTAAGTTCACTGACTCATTTTCTTTGTTGTAGGAAATGTGGAATAATCATTTTCTAGATACTGTGGTATACAGTACAAATCTTAGTACCCTGCATCCACTAACATTTTTATGATCCAGTTCATCTCATTCTGCTAAAATGGGTTGTGCTGCTTTTGTATTTAACTGCTAGTGTTGTAGTAACACTTTCAACATGTTACATCAGGGGTAGCTGAATATTCGACTCCCTGCCACCAAGTCAATGCCAACTCACAGAAATCCTACAGGACCGAGTAGAACTCCACTGGGTTTCTGGGCAACAGCTGGTGAGTTTGAACCTCTGATCTTTCAGTTAGCAGCCAAACTCTTAACCCTTTTCACCACCATGGCTGTTTATGAACAGCTAAAGCACATGCGTATATATATATATATATATCTTATCCCTCTCAAATGTGTGAGTGAACAGAAGAGGAGGCACATCCCATCCCACCAGTATTTGGGCCCTTATATGCTTTAATCTGCCCCAGGAGAGAGTATAGATCCAGTGACTTACATTTTAATACATCACACACTTTGGAAGCCGTGTGTGATACATTACATGGAGCTGGTCGAGACTACTTGAGCCAAGTAACACATCACCGCCAGAATATCCGGAATCTCTGGAACAGTGTTCTGAAGCTAATATCCCGCACTGAGAGTGAAGGGAGTCTCCCTTTCACATGGGCCTCTATGAGGATCCATGTTCTCACCTGTCTGGGGTGGACAAATACTTCTGCTTCTGGAATTTCTTCTCCAGGCCCATGAGCTGCAGCTCAGTGAAGATGGTGCGGCTGCGGCGAGGCTTCTTCTGCCGGGGTGTTGGCTGCTCAGTCTCTGACTCACTGCTAGCCAAAGCATCGCCACCCGGCGCTTCCACAGGGGCAGCCTCAGTGGATGGGTGGTGGGACAACACCTGGGCGATACCTGGGGCAGCAGGGACCAGGTGGGAGATGACTGTGGGCTGCCGGGTGATGACTGAGAGGAGAGGATATGCCCGAAGGGATGGGGAGCCTGGAAGATAAACAAGGAGGCAGGGTCAGTGTGGGGAGCAAGGATGGCAGAAAATGAGAGGCTCTCAGGAGACCATTTGCTGAGACACAGCCGCTGGGCACTGCCATATAAAATTCAAGGCCCTCACCCATCTGCGTGGGTAGAAAACAGATTTATTCAGCCTGACATGTGAGAACATACAAGTTTCCCATGGCCAATGACTGCTTCATGCAATTCCCCTAATTTCAAGTGAATCTTTCTCCTTTCTCCCCTTCAGAACTCCTGAATTCTAGAGGTCAAGGTTATGAGTCAAGCGGATGCAGCAGATGATAAGTAATAATCGGTAAAAAGCTAGAAATACATATATGTTTAATATGAAAACTTCCTGAGACTCATCCATGGTCTCTATAAAAATAAATGCCTGTATCCAGGAATAATTCTTAGGAAATCTTAGCACCACCTTAAGCCACAGCACTTTTTCAGAGATGGAGGGGTGCTAAAAGATTACTTAGTTCAAAGCCATTATTTCAGAAATGAAGAAATGGGCTCAGAAAGATTAAAGGACTTGCCCAAACTAGGGAAGAGCAGATTCATGAGTCAAACTGAGCTCTTCTGTACTGAAGTTCAGTACGTTTATTGCAGCATGACTTGGCTACTCTACATGACGTTACTGATGTCCTCCCAAAGCTCACTAGGCCTTGTGTCATTAATGTTTAATACATTCAATCTGTTCCTGAAATATCCTTGACATTCAGGTGGGACAGCCTCCAAGTCGTATCTTGGCACTTGTGGACTTGTTTTCATTTTCTTCAACTTCCAATTTCAACTTATGAGCAGGCTGGGCAACGCGGAGGGACAGCAAAACAAGGATGAAGGCCCTCCATGAGATGGATTGTTTCAGTGACTACAACAAGGAGCTCAAACATAAGAACAATTGGACCAGATGGTGCTTTGTTCTGTTGGATATGGGGTTGCTATGAGTCAGAGCAACTTGATGACACATGAACACACAGCAGATCAAAGAATCCCACTACCACGAGGTCTGCAGTTCAAAACCACCAGTTTCCCCACAGGAGAAAAACAAGGCTTTCTACTCCTTTAAAAAGCTACCATCTCAGAAACCCACAGGGCAGTTCTACCCTGACCTATAGGTTCAGAGTCGCAATGGACTCGATGGCAGTGAGCGAGGCCCTCGTGACTAGAGAGTGCAGACTATGCCCCTCCAAAGGAACGCACAGAGAAACTCCATATGTGTGCAAACTTGTGTACCACACAGGTAAATGCCACCCCTGAAGAAAATCATTAACTATGTGTAATGCGCTGCATTACAGTGCAAGATATGTAAAGGCAGTATATTGAGGTTTCCTTGGATGTTTTCATTTTCTATTCCATTAGGGAAAAAGATCCACTGCATGGGAGAGTTTTGTCTTGAAATAGCCCATCAGTAACGTGTTAAGTAACACTATATCACTAATTGTTACTATTTCCATTAAGTCTCCTGCCAACGCTAACACTTGAGGTTTTATGTTTCGGATTCTTTTGAGCAATAATTTTAAAAATCATCTGGCAGAGGTATTTTATAGCAAGGATATTAGGATACCTGTGTCTGTGGTTTTGGACCGCCCAGAACACATCATGAAAGACTTCCAGGAAGAAGTATGTGAATGCTTCTTACTCAGAGATACGTTGTCTCTTACTCAAATCACTTCATTTCTTTAATTCAGCCCTTTCTTTCCAAAGAGATGATCCTTCTTAGTAAGCAGGCAACCTAGCAACCTGGACATTCAGAAGCTTACTGATCCAGGAAGTAGCTAAGAACCTACTTTAAGGAAGGATTTTAATCACCATGGTTTCACTTTCTTCTTTTGTAAAGCAGCTCAAAAAGTTTTTTTAGCCTAATACTGAAAACATTTTGAAAATGTAGCAATATCTATTGGGAAGGATATGGGGAGATTGGAGGTAATATACTATTAAGAGTTTAATCTTCAGAAAGACAAACTAAGCCCTATATTGCAAATTATGGACCAAGCAGTAATTCTATCATTAAAGATCTATTTGCCCAGGTACACAAAGATGTACATATATGCCTAATTATTGAAGCATTATTTATAATAGTGAGAAAATAGAATTAATCTATATAACTATCACTAAGAAAGTCATAAAATAAATTACGGTACATTCATAGTATGAACACTGTGTAACTATTAAGAAATATCTATACATAAACACAAACTAATATAGGAAAATATTCTAACTATATTATTAAGAAATAGAAGTTTTAGACATCATGATTTATATTATCTGAAAATATCTGTGTGTGTGTGTGTGTGTGAAATTAGTTATCAAACTTACCACTGACTATTTCTGGTAAAATAGTAAAAGTGAATAAACACTTTATTTACTCACACTAATTGCATTAATTACATGGTCAATCCTGACACAAATTTTATTATATAACTTCCAAACCACATGGTTCTATAACTGCCAAGTTGACTTTAATCATTGCAACAAACATTAGTCTCACCTTGTACTACAGCCAGACATGCATTATTCATGAAAAAAAGTTTTCTTTCACTGTTGCTCCAAATACAACTGTGGGATGTTGAGCCAGTCATTAAGTAAGGAGGGGTGGTGTGTTCTAGGCCAGATTTGGCCACGGGCAGAGCATTAGCTGTTCAAGTTGTGAGAAGTAATCGGATTCAGGTCACAGTCCCAGTTAGGGTTGAAAAGCGTCTTGGAAGACTGAGCATCACATCTGAGAGGAAGAGCGCTCCTGCGAGTCTGGAGGACAGAAGGTACCATCTACGCAACTGAAGCAAAGGGAACAAAGAGCAAGGCTGTGTGGGGAAGATCAAGACTTCTGTTCTAGACAAGTTGCCATTGAACATCCAAGACGCTACAGGAAGGAAGCAGTTGGATAAATAAACTAAGCTGGAGTTCCAGGAAGAAGCTGGCTAGGAGGCACAACTTCGACCCACAGGAGCAGATGGTGTTTAGAGTCAGGATAGCATGATATCACCCAAGGAGTAAGTGGGATAAAGAATTAAAGTGATCCCATGGGAAGGGTATTGTTTATGTCTCCACAGGAAAGGGAGAGAGGGACCAGACCCCATTCCAGAGTGCCAAGCCTTGAGGACAACGTACTAGCACGGAGCAGTGAACTATCAGAGAGGAGGACGACAGGGCCAGGCCAAGTCGAGCTATGTTGATCCCTTCTCCCGAAAAATGTAATCTTCAGGACAACACTGAAGATATAGCCCAGGGAGAATGGCAGGTCTGTCCAGGCCACAAGGGTGTGAACTAAGAGACAGAGAGAGAGAGAAAATGGAGCTCATCATGGCCCACCAAGCCCGGGGACCACATCTGAGCAGCCAATGCACAGAGGGCCCCACCACAAGACACGATGTTCCCTCACTGACCCATAGCACTCTGGGGACAGCACTGGAGACATTGTGCAGAAAGTGTGCCTGGTCTGTCCCATGCACAGTGGGGTGAAATGCAAAGGGAGTGCAACAGGGCAGCAATGGGAGCAAAATAACCAAGTCCCCAAGGAATCCTGAAAATAGACTTCTGAGTCAGGGGACAGGGCTTGGTACTTCATCAGACTCAATTGGAAAACAGAAAGGTCAGCAGACAGACCTGAAACTATATCTTTTTTTGTTTTCTTTTGTCCTGTGTCTATCTACATAATATAGGCAGGACAAACTATCCAGAGAAGAAAACAACGGGACTGGTAGCAGAAGGGGTGGGGAAGGGGAGTAGGGAGTCAACAAACTCACAGATGAGGGAACAACAAGAGATCTAAAAAATGATGGCAAGGAGGTCTGGTGGGGTTTGATCAAGTGCAATGTATCAAAGAGGAATTACTGAGAGACGAGTGGAGATTGAGCATGATAATGTGACAGGAGGAAAGTGAAAGGAAATAGCAGAAGTAGGAAACAAAAGCTATTTATAGAGGTATAGTTATAGGCATGTACATATGTAAACATTAATTTTTAATAAAAGGGATAGAAGCCAAAGTACATATGTTTATATGTTAAAGTATTAAGACAGCAGACAGACTTTGGGCCAGTACACAAGACCTCCCTAAAAACAAGAACACTTTGTTTTGATAACTGGGCACTCTTTGATACTCACCTTCCCGACATGATCACTGAAGACAAAATGTGTGCATAGCAAATGTGATGAAGAAAGTGGATACTGCCTGACTAGCTTGAAGTTAAACAAGCGGTCATCTTGCAGGGAAGCAAATAAGCCCACATGGAAGAAGCACATCAGCCTGTGTGATCATAAGGTATTAATGGGATCAGGTATCAGATATCAAAAGATTCAAAACAAACAATTATATCAATGTGAATGAGGGGGGTTGGAGTGGAGACCCAAAGCCCATCGGTAGACAATTGGGCATCCCCCCACAGAAGGATTACAAGGAAGGGACAATGCAACCAGGGTTCAGTATAGCACAGACAAAACACACATCATTCCTCTAGTTCCTGAATTATTCCTCCCCACAACTACCATGACCCAGTTCTACCTTACAAATCCGGCTCAGATAAGAGCTCTCAACACATGGAATTCAGGACAGAGAACCCATTCAGGAACAGTAGTAGAAGTAGTGATATTATGAGGGTAGGGGGAATGGTGGGGACAGGGGGTAGGAGGAGAGAGGGGGATCCCATCACAAAGTTGGATATATACCCCACCCTCAAGGGAGATGAATAACAGAAATGTGGGTGAAGGGAGACAACAAACAGTGTAAGGTGTAAAATAACAACAATAATATATGATTGATCCAGGATTCACAAGGGTGGGAGGGTCGGGGAGAAAGGGGAAAAATGAGGAGCAGATACCAAGAGCTCAAGTAGAAAGAAAATGTTTTGAAAATGTTGATGGCAACATATGTACAAGTGTGCTTAATACAATCGAATGATGGGTTTGCATAAGATTTGTAAAAGCCCCCAATAAAATGATTAAAAAAATAATAATATATTTCTCACTTGAATTATGACATCTTTACATTA